TAACACCAAAGATAACACAGAGAGACCTGGAAACAGACCTAGAGCTCCAGCTGCCGGCACGCCACCTCGCGTGGGGACCATATTAGGTCAAGTCTCCATACCTCCTACCCGGCCCCAGGGGACGTCAAGCGTATGGCCAAAGACATCGACCGCCGAAGCCTCTACGAAACCCATTCCAAACACCCCACACACCGTGACTGAGAAACAACCAGTGGAATTACTCAAACCCATTGGGAAGTCGGGCGTGCCACCCACAACGAACCCAGGTCACAGGAGGACCAACTCGATCATTTTGTTCAACGTCGATGTATCGACAGACTCATTGTTGGTCGAGAGGGAACGGTTTGACAGCCGAATGTGGACCGACTACTGTCAGATGCTAGGACTCCCTCCCCTCCCTGCAACTTTATGTCGCCTTTCTCGAGGAAGCCGTGCACCCCGAGATAAGCCACCCCCTTTACGTGTGTCCCTAAATACTACCAAAGAGGCTGAAGACACACTCCTCCTCTCGCGACAACCGGACGTTGTTAATGCCTGTAAAATTCGGGCCAGGCCTGACAAGCCATGGTCAATAAGAGAGGAGGAGAGAAAGTCAGCGGTTGGAAATCCCAACAGAAACAACACTATAGTTGTACATGGGATTCCAGAATTGCCAAGTGACCGCTCGGTCAAAGATCGGTACTTTCACGACGTCCAACAATGGCAATGGCTCTCAACCAAAGTTGGTCTCAACAGTATACCGGCCAACAGCGTCAGTAGACTGCCAAGGCCAGCGCACCTGAAGACCATACCCAATCCCAGACTACTCGCCGTCCAGTTCGACTCATATGCCTCCCTCACAGACGTTCTACAGGCATGGTATAATGCGAAGGATCGCATGGGTGGCTCAATACGTATATGTGAAAGTAAGCCTAGACCCACAAGGCAAGAGGAGAGACGACAACCACCAAGACCTCTGGAGTCAGTGGTCGTCACACAGGCGCTGACCAGTGAGTTAGATACATCAAGTAAAGAAGCCACCACTGCCACAGCCCCCACCCAAGTTAATAACAAAACACAAAAAAACGGAACAATGCCAGTCCTATGAGGACTGGCGAGGGTAGACCCAACCACATAAGCGCTCATCCTGCGAAAATACACAACCAGACCTCCCCCTCACCAGGCACACTCTAATATGTATGTACAGCAACGTTAGGGGGCTAAGAGGGAAGGTAGCAGAAATGAGGACGCTGCGTGCACATCAGCACTCCGACATCATATTCATCACCGAATCCTGGCTCTCGCCAGACATCTCCGACGAAGAGATGCATGTTACTGGCATGGAACTCTTCCGCAGGGACAGGGAACATAGAGCAGGAGGAGGAGTGGCTATCTACGTAAACTCTTGTTTAAAGGCAAGGATGGTTAGCGATACGGCCTTAACCCAGCTCCCAGAGTCCCTATGGTGCTACTTCACTCTCCACAGTACCAAATACCTGCTCGGAGTCATATATCGGTCCCCCACCTGCTCCCCTACACATAAGGAAATGATCATCAAGGCTATCTTAACGACTTCCTCTGCAAATTACGATTCCGTAGTCATTGCCGGCGACTTCAACACCCCGTCCATCCTCTTCGAGACGGAAGGGAGACGCATCAGATCCTTCAATCAGAAGCTGAAGGATGCAATTAAGACTGCTGGCCTCTCAGAGAAAGTGGGTGATGCTACACGCTGGGGACCTAACGGAAACGCATCGCGCCTTGACTACGTTCTGACGAACGATGAACTTCTCATTGAGGATGTTTGCATCCAACCTCCCCTTGGCCTCAGTGACCACGCTGTAATCACCTTCTCCATGATAACTAGGGAGGCTCTGCAACTGGAGACGCCCAACACCTTCCCTTGCTACAGCAAGGCCAACTATGAGACCATGAGGGACTACCTCATGAATGCATCATGGCCAGTGGACTGGACTCATCTCACAATAGATGAACACTGGTTGGAGGTGAAGAAAATAATCACTGGGGCCATCAGTCACAGTGTACCAGAAGTAACACACAGACAATCAATGAGAACCTCATGGTTAAAGCGTGGGACAGAGAGGCTTATCCGGAGCAAGAAGCAGGCTTGGTTCAAGTGGCGCACATCACGCAGGGAGTCTGACTTCTTGAACTACAAAAGGATTCGCAATCTCTGTAACATTAGAGTGCGTAACGACAGATTTTCCTACCAAACAAACTTGGCAGCGAGGTTACAAAGCAACCCCAAAAACCTGTACCGCTTCATGTCAAGAAGAAAGTCGACCAGTAAGGGAGTGAATCTTGTCACAGGCCATGACGGGAGTGTGCTAAGCAGTCTAGAGATTGCCGAGCTTTTGAGCTCACACTTCCAAGCCCAACTCAGCACTGACACAAGATCCACACCGACTCGCCACGACACCGACCAGGTCGCAAATAACGAATACCTCTGTCACGTCTCTATTACAGAGAAAAAGGTGTTCGAGAAGCTATCTAGGCTACGTCCGGGCAAGTCCCCTGGCTGCGATAACCTGAAACCAGTGGTTCTGAAAAACTGCGCCGAGGTGCTTACCAAACCACTTCGCAACCTCTTTGAGCACTCAATAGACTCGTGCAAACTCCCTAAAGAATGGAAGAGTGCCATCTTGTCACCCATCTTCAAGGGAGGAGACAGAAAAAGCCCTGGCAGCTACAGGCCGATTGCCCTACTCCCTATTGTGTCGAAAGTGTTGGAAAGCCTGGTAGCTGACACCATCTGGGAATTCCTCAATAGAGAAAACACTGTCCACACTGCTCAGCACGGCTTTCGTAGTGGTCGCTCATGTGCCACCAACTTACTAACCGCCTGGGACGACTGGACACAAAGCTGGGATAATAGAAAACCTGTACATGTTGTATTTCTCGACCTAGCCAAAGCATTTGACAGTGTCCCACCCACAGTACTGCTTCACAAGATCATGTCAGCTGGTATAAGTGGACCCCTACTCTCTTGGTTCAAGGAGTACCTGGAAGGGAGGCAGTTCTGCACTAAAGTGAACAGAATAAGGTCGGAGTGGAGACCGTCGACGTCAGGAGTATCCCAAGGAGCAATCCTAGGACCGCTTCTGTTCCTCCTGTTTGTCAACGATCTGCCAGACAAAATATCCTCACCCATCCTCCTCTTCGCTGACGACATAAAAATTTGGAGGGTGGTAAACGAAGAAGCCGACTGTGCAGCACTACAAAAGGACTTGCAGCAACTCGAGCTCTGGTCGTCGGAAAATGGCCTGAGCTTCAACCTGGAAAAGTGCAAAGTAATGCACATCAGTAAAAATGAGGCAAGTACGACCGACTTCCAGTACATGTTGAGCAACCGTGCTATCACCAGAGTGTCCATGGAGAAAGATTTGGGGCTCAACTTCTCCGACACCTTGGACACCAGCTCCAACTACAAAGGTATGACAACCAGAGCGAACGCCATTCTACACTTTCTGCGTAGACAGCTTGGCGCCCTCACTCCCGAACTCTTCCTCACCATTTTCAAATCCTACGTGCGGCCGCACCTAGAGGTCTTCAATACGGTGGCTCCTCCAACACTCAAGAGAGACTCTAATCTCCTTGAAAGAATACAAAGAACTGCAACAAAATGTGTTGTGGGGCTAAGGGGAAAGACGTATCCTGAAAGACTTAAACACCTCAACCTATTTACCTTGGGTTATCGCAGGAAAAGGGGTGACCTCATTATGGCATACAAGATCGCCCATCAGGCAGACCATGCAAACAAATCAATTTTGCCTGCAACTGAACGATCTTCACGAGGAAACCCCATTAAGATAGCACACCAGAGAGCCAACACCACACTCAGGTCCAAATTTTTCTCCCTAAGAGTATGTGCTTTATGGAATGCCTTACCGCGACACATCGTTATAGCTCCTTCAATCGACTCTTTCAAGAGGCGATTAGACAGTTATGTCACCTCGCATGGACTACCACGGACGTACTCAGGTAGTCACCAACCTCAGTACCCCCAACTCCCTCCTAACTACCACTCACTATCTCTCTCCTTAATACACCCACATTACCTACTAATTCTTCTGTAGGAACCAAACCCACGCGACCATTCGGGCAATTCCCAAATACTTTTCTTTCGTTCTCATTTCGCTCTTCACCCCTTCTTTTCTTCTCCTTCCCTTTTCTCTTCCCTACATTATTATTTTTATTTTTATTTATTTATTTTTTTACTCTTCCTTATTTCTCTCTTCATTCCTTTACCACTACCTTAATATTCTCTTTCAGGTACCTACACAGACAGGAGTCACGGTTGTTCTCTAAACTTCCCAGCAGCCCGTAGCTCCCTAATCACTCTACAAATTACAACCTACTAACCCACAAAACATCCACCTCACCGAAGCTAAAAGCAAGAAAGCAGAGGGTATTTCCTCGTCCACTGCAGGAGCAAACCGAACAACTGGAACCAAGCCCTAAGAACTAGACACGAGAGATCAAAAACTACTAGTTTTCTACGCTCGCACTATCAATATTGGATATTGGATTACTTAAAACGACGACATGCCAAATGATTACGATGTCTGGCCGTGTGCCTTAAGGTTAGCGAGTTCGTTAAAATTGTGAAGGTAAGCAGCAATTTTGAATCTCGTTGGACCGAAGGTTATTGATTTATGGGGAATTACTTTGCTATGAACCTTCAGAAGCGTTTTTTCATTCCATTAAGTAGTGGCCATAGTTCGTCCTTTGAGGCGCGCTGATCAACGTAGTTAAAGCCAAGTGTGGTTGAGTTTTGTTAGTTTTTTGCATTTGTTGCTAGTGCATGACGTTCAGCTTGTATCCTGGTCCATGTAGTTATTCTGGTTCTGATTGTCATCCGTCTAGGAATTTTCTGTGTGCTTGTTGATCGAGTAACAGACCCAACTATTTCCGGTTAATCAATTTCCATTAATCATTTGCGAACCTTTTAGAAAACTACCAGGTTTGGCCCTAATACATTTATAAAATCAGTCTTTGACATGTCAATTAAAGAAGGTTACTTGAAGAAGTGGTCTGGTGCGTAAGATAGTTTAATATTTCCTTATTTCAGATCGGAAAAACTGGCACGATGTGTACTGCAAATTACTCACCAGTGGTTGGTTTCAGTGGTACGATAGTCCGTCATCTATTTCACCTAAAAGAAGCGTTGACATTAGGGTTTGTGACCTTCAAGGCATTTCATTTTTTAGCGCGTCGCGGCTTTTCTTGCTTTCGGGGAAGTCATCCATCGAGTTCCATGCAAGCCAACTTCTCTGACGAACTCAGAAATACCATTGGCATTTGGCGTCCCCTTCGAACCTCATATGGGAACGCAAATGGCTTGGTTTGTGTGTCCTGACCAAGCAACATTAAGGTATGTTTGCATGATTCACTGACATAATGCTTTTCATGATTTATTATAAGTAATAGTTGAGTGTTATCGTAATCTACGTATTAAACTTTCACAACATCAGGGTACTGTCCATTACTCTACTGTCCTAATATTGGAAAAGGTTTGGGTGACCGTTGGTGGAATTAAACAGGTATTTAGGACGGGCGTATTTTAGTACTGATGCCAGGGTACATTGATGCAACTAAGGGAATTAAAAAGCGTGTTGATGATTTGTCCAGCTAGATAACGTAACGTTGTGCTATTGGCTACAACATAAAAAGAACCGATTTGGTACGACCCATGTCAAAAATTGACTGAACTGATGTGTACGACAGTAACTTTAAGCACGTTACACCATACACAATAAACTTACAAAATATTAGAGCATTTACCGGGCTAATCCAACCGTAAAAGATGGCGTACTCTTAAGTTCATCCTGGGCTTTGTTTGCAATGGGGTCTGAAAGCGGTAGTTTTAGAAAGGTCCGTCCGTCACGTTCATTGCTAAATCTTGACACATACCGCTGGCGTGTATATTTTAGAATCTGATGAAATTCAGGTATTCGACGCTCATGGATTTGCGTATTTCGGCTTTCCTTCCCTACTAATTCATTTGTAATACTCAGTAATTTTGAGCTTGGAATATTGACACCTAGCCCAAAGTTTTGAGGATTAGGATGATTTGGTTTCTTTGTTGGTAAAATGCTGGGAACTCATTTGTATAGGTGTTTTTATGTCCTTTAGGAATCCTCACTCTGCTGTGCACGACAGTATTCAGCACCTTTCCATTTGTCTTGCAATAAAAATCAAAAAACTGGTTCATACTTATGCATCTCGTTTCTTATACTCTGTTTATTGGATGGACCAATTAGTTTGCTTTTACTGGAGCCCAGTAAGAAGTGATTCTGAGTTGTTGCTACTTCTCTGAGGTTATTTGTTTTAGGCCAATATAAACCATTAGGCTTACACTGAATTCGTTTTTTGAATGGTGAAATGGGATGGATATCAGTTGTATACTAAATTACGTTATAATTACTAACGCCATGCTTATTTAAAGTAATAAAGTACTTGTTTAGTTGCACTCGGGTCGATATCATATGCTTTTGCATTTCTGAGTATGTAAATAGCTCTTTGGTGCAGAAGGATCACACCGGATTTCATACTCTATATTTACCATTAAAAAAGAAACAGCTTCGTTTCAAGGTACTACATATTAGATCAGTGGAAGATAATAGACAAGAAGGTTGAAAGGAGTAAAGTAGTAACTGGGAAATTAAACATGTGCTAAAGAGAATACTTTTGTGTCTAGTAACGGAAAAGTGGATGTCATTTTTTTGCTCAAGGTATTCAGAACGTTTTGCCAGTATCTGTTTTTGGACATTCGTTAGTGCAATAATTTGGGTTAAAGCATTCATATCCACTCTGATGAGTCGGTAGCAGTCAGCTGTTTTCGAAAAGATTTCTTACAAAGGTCAATGTCAGTTAAAAGTAATAATATTTCTCACGATTACCACTCTCTACTGATCGGCATGCAATCCCCGTCAACTTTTGTATCTATAGGTGTCTGTGTTGAAATAAACTGATATAAAAGGTTGACAGCTCAATAAATGTTCATACAATACTTGGTGAAACATCTGCTCAAAAACCGACCGTCATTGTACATTAATTCAGAATGTAATTTCAGTCGTAGTTAGAAGTAGGAATCCTCTCTATCAACAAAGTCATGTTTCATTTTCACGTCATGGGTTCGAGGTTATACATAACATGTGTAAATGCGTAAATACCAGGAAATACTTTGTTTCGCTCTAATCTATTATTATTTAGTGTTGGGGATGCATTTATCTCCTATATGTCATACTTGCATCCGTACTTTTAAAACTTTTTCGCCCTCTTCTCCCCACACATTTCATATAACCCACCAGAGTTCTGATCGTCTCTTGTCTCTGTATGTACCGATTGTACTTTCTCTTTCAATTTCATTTCAGTTTACATATACTATCCGTTCTTACTACAAAAGGTCTTCATTTTGAAATACTATAAACTCAATTGGATGCCAGTTTCCCAATTTCACTCTCGCTGAGTCATCTCGATCCTCAGATTTTCAGTCATCAGTTAGTCCCACTTCGTTCTCGCAACCCCACTTTGTAACAAATAGTGATTTTTTTCATTGCTTGAATTTTTCGAATTACTTAGATCGATAGTTTTAGGTCATTATCAGTAGGTCAGCTAATAAATGAATGATAAATGTATTCCACATGTGTTTGGGAACTCAATTCACTTAAGCTGTTCGTAAAGTTTTTGATTTTCACATACACGAAGACAATTTATAGGCCCAGATGCTCTTGATAACAGTTACCTTTGGTTGGCATTGTTTGCGGTGTAACTTGTAACTCTTTCTTACCACTCATTGAATAGCTGAATGTATAATGGTCATTTTCTGTGGAGCTGTGGCTCATTGGTTTAAGGAGATGACTTTCAACTAGTGGATCATGGTTTTAAATCCGCTCCACCCACCAAAGTTTGAGCAGTCAGTTAGTAACATTATTAGCCTTCACACAATAAGTGTGGCTCATTGTCTACTGCACGAATGTGCACAAGGTTGCGGAGTGCATCTCGATTTTTTTCGAATGACCATTTCCCAATATACACTAATCCGTTTTCTATATTTACTTAGCTGAAATGTGTGGTGATTGACAGTGAGACAAACTATGCTTATCATCTTTGGCAAACGATCATGTTAGAATGAACTAGTTTTTTGTTAGTTCATGTCTGTAGAAAAAATATATTCCCATATAGTTTGTTTTGTGTTTATGTGTGAGTAATTTGCAAATGAAATGTCTTGCTGAGGATAAGTGTACCATCTTATTAATGGTAGTTTATTGTTCAACCTTGAATGCTATCACTTCAGCGTACATTTATTGTTAGGCTGATATTTAGATTACAGTGTCTGCCGTATGTCGTATCACAGTAATGTTCAGTTTCATAGTCTTGCTTATAGTTCATTTTTTGACTTTCAGAATAACGTATAGTAGAGATTATTGAAGTGGTTTCTAACGATAGAAACATCCTGTGTTTAGTTGTATAACTACAACAGGGTATTAAAATGATATCGACTCATCTTAGAAGCAAAACAAACTAAAGTTATCGTTGGAGATTTTGCGTAAAGACTGGAAATATAGTTTGACCTATTTCTAAGTTGTATACGTAAAACAGAGAGTAATCATTATGCATGACTTCTAGCTTAATGTTTACTGTTCGTATTAGAGTCGAATTAATTTTCTACTTTTCTTTTCTGCTCCTTTTGCTATAGTTCATGGACAAACGCAATTATGTCTTTGGTGAGCCTTAATATTTTTGAATGTTTGATTTGGAGAGATTTATCCATCTAGTAATAGTCTGAATTGAAAACTTATGCTGATATAAGCATACAGTTGTGGTGCACTGGTTTAGGTACCTGTTTCTTCATCTTCTTGACCCTTAGTTCGAACCCGGTTCCACTTTTCGAGGTTCTGTAGGCTATGTAGTATTGTTGCTCCACAGTATAGATGCAAATGGTGGCGCAGTATATGCATATGTTTATGTTTGCTAAGTTGTATTCATCCATTTAGCATTTCACTGATATGAACCTAGATTTTGTCGTAACGTTTGAAAAACTCATGATAAATGCAGTTCATGGCAGTTAGAAGTCATCTCAAAGTAGATAGAAAACCAGTATCAAAGTGTCACTAACGCTTTGTTTACCTAAATTTTCTCACAGAAACGTGAAATATATTCGTGCGGAATGTAAGCATAATGCTCTAGGCCATATACTTTTTACTAGCCCCTTCATGCGGAATGATCACTCCTCATTTGAAACTTGATATATTTTTAATCTGAAAGGACCTGGCATCGGTTCAACTGACTTTACTACAGACTAGTGAAATGCAGTGGGTAAGGTTGGGTAGGTGAAGAGGATAAAAGTAGTAAATGGACATCGAGCGTCAGAAAACACTCAGATTTTTGATAATGCATATTAATGTAAATTCTGCCATCTAGTTTCCGAAAAATACATCTTACTTTTGTACGTAACTGCACACATTTTTGTCTACCGCATGCGGTTCTCTGAAATTCTTACGATATTGACTCTTAATTTGCATCCTTTCAGTTATAGGTACACTGAATCAAATATTTAAATAATCAACTCTAGTCAAATAAAAGAAAGCTAGTCAGATTGTTGACCAAGAGCTCAACATTTTTAAAGATACCATTTTGCTAAGAAGGAGGCCACCTGTTTTTACTCCTGAATGCTGATCTTACATTCTCATTTAGTTTTAATTCGTTGGCAAAGTTACGGAATCGAGTTCTAACGGGATGACCACACTTATTTTATGCACGTTCTGCAAATGTTGACTGAAAACCTGAATTCTTCTCAGGTAGCCACAGCCTTCGAATAAAATCATAAATAATAATACAGGAGATGCAAATGCTGGATATTTCTACTGGGTTATTTTTATTCAAAATCTTTTCATTGACTGGGAAGGAGGATTCAGTCTGATTTGTAAAACAAATATGAAAGTGATAAGCCTAACTATTGAAATTCTGTGTGAAGCTGCACACAAAGAAGGAAACGGTGCATTTTTGCAAGGTGCATTACTGAGTAGAATCAATGGCAAAATGCATTTATTTCCTCAAGTGAATGCAAATATTAGTAGATCCACGGATTGCGTATGGCGTTTGCTGTAAAGGCGCTTCACTTCAAATCTGTTGATCGAGGTTGGAAAAATATTTAGAAGTCTCAACAAAACCAGCATCAAACACGACACGAAAGTTATAATCATGGGTATTATGACCACCCTAAGACTTATCGCCAGAGGTACGAACCATTTCGCATAGAGCCACGCGTAAAAAGGAGCCTAGTTTTTGTTCACCGTCTTCTTAATAAGGCGTCACATGCTTTCGCTGTATCAGTATCATGAGAAGGTATATCCTTGTACTATTTACATAACAAAAAGTAGTTTATTCATGTTGGTGACTAGAAGTGGAATCCAGGGCGCGCGTTTCGTCCTGTTCGGGACTCGTCGGCTGCATGTACCTGCACCCCAGTGAATGACGTTCCTGCTGAGATCCGAACTCAGCATCCACCGCTTCAAACGCCGAAACGTTATCCACTAGGCCGCTGTAGTAAAAGTATGAAACAACAAAGGCAGTACTATTAATTCCCCAAGAACCAACGCAGATCTGCATGATAAACTTTTTTAATTGTTCATTATAATTCGATTTGAAATAAACTCCTACAATCGAAATAGTTCAAAACTACATGCATGATTACGTGAATGATGACGGTTTGTCTTCTTTTCGACATTGATACACTTACGGATAACATCTACAGGCTCGACCCCATCCTTTATGTTACTTCACGATTCCTTTTTCTACCGTCAACTTGTAACTGTGATCAACAAAGTTACCTTACAAATTCGCTACTTAGCTATAATTATTCATCCTTTTTTATTGAGTCCTGCTACTTGACTAGTTTTTATGACCTAAGAAAGTGAAATGCAACAAATAGCTCGTTTCACTAGTCATTTAAGTGTTTTTGAAACTGCACAATTTTATTTTTAATACCTACTCAGAAAGACTATTGTTTAACAGGTTTTATTTTTTTTAAAAACTGCCGTTTTATTCTTACATAAATGCTGCCTTTTTTATTCTTTTGCTCTGCATTGTTTTTAATGCATCAGACTTCAAAAGCTATTGTGCTCAAAGCCGTTCGCTATGCATTTTATTTTCTCTATGTTTCAATCACTTCTTCATGCCCTCTCGTATTATTTCTTTGCCCATTTCCCTGGGACTATTTTCCCTTTCAAATCATGAAGAGTGTACTTTGCTTGTTTGTATGTTTATCTATTTCATTTGTAACGTAAAATAATGCGTCACCGAAATTATTCTGAAATTCCTACAACTCATTTTGTATACTTTGTACATTTGTTCGCATGTTACCCTTTGAAAGAAAGTGATGTGCTCTTCAGTAGTTACATGCTCGCAGCTTATTTTAAATAAGTTTTTGCCTTGTTTTTCTGCTTCTCATACTATTTCATGACTTCAAGGATTGTAGTACGTGTATGTTTTCTCGCTAGCTCATCTTCATCCCGAAGTTTTTCTTGGAAAAGCCTTACAAAGACGAACATCCGCATTGCTTCCTGTCACACCATAGTATTTTTACATGTAACCCTAATAAATCCAAAAGTGGCTCCTCAAATTTGTGAATAAGTTATTATCACTGCTATCACTTATCAGTTTTACAGACATGACCTCTGTTACATATCGTAGACTGCGTTCTAAGCCAAGGCCCCTTAGCGAAACATGTTTCATTTCTTTGACCTCAAGTTTGATACTTGAAGTCCGCTGGGCAAGTACTAAATTTTTAAACAGATGGAGTAAGCAGAAATACAAAAAGAGTAATGAATTGAAAGTTAATGAAAATATTCAGGTTTTTGAGAAAGGTCAAAAGTGAGTACATCTGTACCACTGTCATAGATTTTCAGGTGTGTTACAGCAGCTATTCATCAACTGATTCTAACATCTTCAAGATCTCAACCATACTATCTTCATTTCCCTACACGGTTCAGCCAGATAATCAGTAACGTCATGACTTGGCTACCCGTATATTTTCTAACTTAATTCTAATTCCACCAATCCTAACCCGTCTTTTGGCTTGGCATAAGCAACACACGTTGAAGTCACCTCAGCTGGTTGAGTTCTTGACCTCACCAACCTATCTGCTTTCTTCACGTAGTACTTTACGTTTAATCTCAGCGCTACTCGCTTTGGAGTTCTACTACACGCGAGCAGTGCAATACAGACACATTTTAGAAGCTTTAACTTTATCATGTACCTCACATTCACCGACCATCTATCATAGCCGAAGAGTAGAACAATGAGAATCACTCCACTATACAAAAGATTTAATCGGCTTGTGGCTGTCACCAGCACCAAAAGTGGCCTAAGTTAACGGTGGTCAAATTGTCTTTTGTATGCGTACCGAGCTGAAGAATTGATCGTAGCTATAATTTACTCGACGAGTACTGAAACTTTTGTCTATCAGGTTTAAGGTTTATTTGCCCCTCTATACGAACTGATTTGGTCCTTTTACTTTCCTGTATCTCATGCAGATTTCGTACAACATTAAAAATATGGGCATTCTATCACTTAGTTACATTTTCTAGCTATCTACTTGACAGTAAGCATTAACATTGCTATTTCTGGCCTCAAGGGTCGATGGCATATTGTTCTATTCATTGATACATGATATAATTATATTGTGCTGAAAGACAGTTTAATTTGCCTTATTATTATTATTTTGTATTACAGCTATCATTATTCGTTTGTCCCAATGAACCTCAGAGATTCTTGTGTAAAAATCTTTATTATATTTAGATATGCAGAGACAGTGTAGCATCTCACAATTGTTTATCATTATATGGGTACACTTATAACTGACCGAAAAAGGAAACAGTGATGTTTATGTTGTCTGGTCACCAGAGAGCAACCAATTTTATGTTGTCTGCTTCTGAGTACTGACCAGATTCTATCAATGATTTTGCAGTACGGCCACCATGCTAGGAGGCTGACCATCGCAGTGCACTTTGATGGAGATTAGGTGGTAGGAGGCCGGCCTGGTTTTTGAGCTTATTGGCACTCATCAGCAAGGCATATCTGCAACCTTGAGGGAACTGGTGGCTTCTGAGAGATTCAAACTCGCGTCACCCAGTGCTAACGAGGCTGACTGCAACACGGTGGCAGGGGTTCGAACCTCAAGCGGCACATCAATTCCCTCGAGATCGGAGATACACCTTGCTGAAGATTGCCAATAAGTGCGACAACCAGGTGCAGGTCTACCTGCCGATTGCCTTCAACCAACTAACAGTTATGTTTATATCGATCAGGAACTACAGATAAAACGGGAGACAAGTTAAACTAGCAAGACGAAACTGTATAAAATGCACTATGTTTAGGATTTAAAAGGAGATAAAATGGGGATGCATTTGTTAAGCGATGTCATCTTGTCTGGAAATTGGGTCTCCAATGTCTCATGAACCTTAAGCAAGATATCTCATGTCTAAATGTTATGCCCTCATCTGTTCTCTAATATCACTGTCTCAATTGAAAAAGTTACGTTTTCCCTTTTAAAATTGATTTTACTTTTTGTATGATTTAGTTGCAACAGGGCGCTCCAACTCAGCAGCCACTACCACCCTGTCAACCACCTGTGCCAACTGCAGCTCCAGGAGCAATCGGTTTTGGAAGTAAGCTTGTTGATACCGTTTTTCTTTCTGGTTTCCATATTGATGTACTTTTTTCTAAGGCTGAATAGGTAAATTACTAATATAGTTAGTGTAGCAGGCTCAACAAAGCGGTTGTCCGTATTTTAGGTTGACAAAATGATTGAAAATCAGAATAGAAGAAAAAAAGATTCACTCAGCAACCTTGTACACAATCGTGCAGTAGGCAATGAGCCATACCTATTGTGTGTGTATGTGTATGAGGGCTAGTGATACTACCTGGCTGTTGAAACCTAGGCTGGTAGAGCTCTATTCAAACCCGTGACCTATTGGTTGAAACTTATCGCTCTAAACCGATGAGCCACAGCTGAAAACCAACCAGAATGATGGTGAATATGTGTAAATTCTTTCTTTAGAATTGCACATATCGGTCAGTTCCTTTTGCTCACCATCGTCTTGCTAATCACAAAAGCCGTTGCTGTTTTAGTAGGGTTTTGAAACTAGAGTCACCACCAAATTTAAAGTTATTTCCCAGTAAAAACTTGTAGTCACTATCATTATTTTCAGTTTGACTAGCTGCGATAGGCGTGTTTTGGGAGACCTACACTAATGATACTGGATGAGGATTGAAGGTGAAATGAGAATCTAAGTGGCGGCAAGATTCAAACCACCAGCCTTTGGGTTACCGGCCCGGTGCAAGACTCACCTGCTGACTAGATCCTGAATCCTGCCTCAAAGCGGATTTTCATTTCACCTTCATCACTCAGTATCAAATAATGCAGGTCTTCCAAACCATGGCTATCTCAGCTAGTCAAAATGAGAATAATGTTAATGATTACGAGTATTAACTGGAAAATAACCAATAGGAATATGATGTTTCAGTCCACTGTTACACTTACTGAATAATTGGTAAGAATTTACGCAGACTTATACAGACATGCACCGATATTTGTGACTAAGGTGAATATCTGTTGGATAATCAATAGAATCTTTGTTAAGCTGGGCATTTCAAGTCGTCACAATATTACTATTCATGCTAACTGTTCTTTGTGCAATAGACAGTTTGTCTGTTATAATCTGTTGTTGTTTTAAAACCAAACCGATCAGTCACTTTTGCTAACATGCGCGATCAGTTTCAATTAAATGACGACAAGTGGAGCTGTCGCTTATTGGTTTAAGATGACTTTCAACCAGTGGGTCGTGTGCGAACCCCGTTTCATCTACCGAGGTTTGAGCAGTCAGGTGGTGTCACTAGCCCTCACATACACAATAGGTGTGGTTCATTACCTACTGCACGAATAAGTGCAAGGCTGTTGAATGGGTTTCGGGTTTTTAGTTTTGTTGTATAGTGCTTACTTTTACTAATTCATTCTCTGACTTTCTATTTACAGTGCCTGATGCAGCAGCTTATGGGGGCAATCCTGGTAAGACGATTTCTTCGAAAATACATATATCATACATACAGTTTGAAATTTTTATAAACGCTGTATGATTGTTTGCTAATTGTTTTCGCATCATTCGAAGGCCATATATGACTAAGTGTCTCTAATCATCTATTCCGATTCCCTCCTGAACCTCGAGAAAGAGGCTTTTTTCGTATGACGAAATCCAGCAATTAAAGATTTCATGGATTTGTACTGTCTTCATCTGATCACTGTTAGCTTTCTCCTAACCCTGAGCCTACTCTACATACCATTGTTCGTCTGTTTAAATTGTGCATCGGAATGCATAATACATATCCAAACCATCTTAGTTAACGAAGGTTCACAGCCTCATCAACTAACTTACCTCCTTTACCTAAAGAAATATTCACCTATCCTTCACATTACTCAACTGGTAGTTCCGCGACACACGACAAATGCTACACTGCCAGTAAAGAGCTGATAGGAAGCGACCTAAATTAACATCAACATTCTAAGTCATCAGTCACTAAGGTAGGAGTTTTGGATTTCCACTTTGTTTCATGTTACTATGTGGTCAGGTAAAATCTTATTGGACAATTTTGTCTCATAGCCGACCAATCAGAGTAAGTATCCAGTGCCTGACCTAGTGGCTTCGTATTCTGAGGAAAAACTGTACATAAGTGATGTTTTTTGTGAAATAAAATTGTCTCTCTTAGAATCACAGGCTGGTCTTTGCTTTTTTGATTTTCGTTGCTCAGTGAAGTATAAGGTTTGAAGGAGAACAGTCGCTATTTGTATCCACTGTCCTATTGCTTTAGTGGCGCCCTCGTTTTTTTGTATCATTCTGTCAGTCGCTTCAAGTGCAAATACTTAGAACTTTGTGCTCACCATTTTTAATAGCTTCACCTAGATAAAGTGGAACAGAATGAACGTCTGCAAAGATACTTGACTTTCAACGTCCATTTCTTTCTGAGGTAATCAACTATGCAGCCGAGTTCCATCTCTAGTGCTTATAGTCCTATTTAGCTGGTCGGAATAAGGTGTATGCAGTGGTTTCATTTGGAGTGTGTTGTGAGCGGAAGACAACGGAACAATGTGTTGTAAGATTTTTGATCCATATCAAAATCAGTTACTACAACACAAAAACCTTTCCGGTTGGGCTCCACAGGCTAACCCAAACCAGTGGTTTGAGACTCTAGGTGATGTGGCATAAATTTATCCACACATTATTCTCATTGGAGCTTTGGCTCAATGGTTTAAGGAGATGACTACCAGACATTGGGTCAGCCGGGCTGTGTCACTAACCACCACATAACAGGTGGGGCTCATTGCCAACTGCATGAATGTCCACAAGGCTGCTAACTAGGTTTCGTTTCGTTTGTTTGTTCGTTCACGCTGTCCTCATCTTAATCGACACAATGAATTCGGTATTTTCCCATTCCTCTTTATTGTCTTATCATGACTTTATACCACTTTTGACTGCTTTCTTCGCTGTTTCTTTATCTTTCATCTTAATGATTTCTTGGTTGGTATGCTGAAACAAGGCATGGCACCTGAGATCGTTACGCAGTAATGCCTGTTCCTATGCTAATCTGGTCTGTTTGTCTTTAACAACACAATAATGTTGCGTATCCATAAGAATTCATCTTCGTTTTGGCATGCTTTGAAAAAATTCATGCGCAATTTACTCTTTGTTTCTGACACGCACTATTACATAATTTGCGTGACAAATTGTCGTGTGATGCTAAAACCCTTGGATTTCATAAAGCCTGTAGTGTAATATATGAGTTTCCCTTTTCTTGTGTAACCGTCCACGTTCATGCTACATTTGGCATGATGTACTGTTACTTGATCTATCCGGTTACAACCCGTTAAATGCGTTGAGTATCATGTTACGTAGTCACCGTTATCAGTCATTATGGTCTAATAGCCATAGATATCTTGATACGGATATACAAGCTCGATTTCTATTTTCTAGGGTATTGTATAGTGCACCAGTGTACCTCACTATACTATACGCATTAGAAATAAAATGTAGTGAAAAAGCTATAAAGCTATAGTCACTAATACTTTTAAAGCGTCTGTTTTGTGTAGTGAAGACGAAGATTGAACAATCTCGAAGTTACGTACAAAATCTTAGGTCGGTGTTAGAAGTCATCTTACAGTTGTGTGGAAATTTACATAGACTGAGATATATGCAAAGAATCGAGCTACTGTCAGGCTTAGGAGGATATTGCATAGAGTAAAAGTTGAAGAGAAAAACATTCTGTGAAATTCGGATGAAGTTCCCATTCATCCATAAGGTCTTATACCTACGGCGATCTGTTGGAGATATTAGATCTCCAGAGATGAACAATCATTGTTCCTGTTTGTAAAATTTATCTGGGGAACATATGAATTTCTCTATTTCATACATTCTTCCACCTCCCATGCACCATTAGCTTTTGGCACTGTTAGTGATGCCAATTTCTTATCGGTTATTATTGAACTTTCAATATGTTAATCTGTTTATCTGTCTCCAGGTCGTTTCCATCGTACATAAATTACCGAGCTGTGCACATGATATATATATATATATATATATATATATATATATATATATATATATATATATATATATATATATATATATATATATATATATATATATAGTCTTCGGTTGAACTTCTTCGCTTCAATGCTGTCTAGGTGTTAGCTGAATAAGCTGTGGAGGAAATCGTGATTAGTGCGTCAGTACAACCGTATCAGACTTGCAGAACATAGTGTAGCTGCGTATTTTAAAAAATCTGCAGGTCCAATGATTGCAGTATCGTAAATACTGACAACATGTGCTTCACTGTGTTTTCTGACATAGCTTGAGATTGGTTCTGCAGTAATTAATAAATATTATCTATTTTTCCATTGTAAGCCTTGTGCTGGCCAATCGACGCAGATTTACGAATCTATTGGGTCGTGTGAGACAACTTCCACAGGGTAGAACTACTCAAACCGAAGCGCTCTACACCCGACCTTTGGGGCAGTACTGACATCGCAAAGATACTAACGCTGACTTACATTGGAGCAGGTCGCTCTGGCTTTTGATATACTCAGTGCTCACTTACGCTTTTGTGACAACCGGTAATTAGTCTGGAATCTGACTATGTTTGACACTAATTTACAACACTAGATGCAACTGATTTGTTTACATCAGCTTGTTTCATATTGTGATTTTGGTGGCCATGAAAACACAAGACAGTCAACACATATTGAAGTATGCCTAGAGCTCAAACAGGTGCTGTAGAGGAAACCAGTATCCTGAATACACTCAGCCCATCAGTTGCAGCTTGAATGTTAGAGGAACGACCTCATGCAGCACAATTAGGTTGGTATTATTATCATTATTATTTCCCCCTTGGGTTCCTAGTCGAACATAGGGCTTCAGCAACACGTCCCCATTTCACTCTGTTCTCTGCAGTCTTTTAAACACGGCTCCACGACTTCCCAGAAGCTCTCATTTCTTCCTCACACCGTCCTCTCCGTGTAACCCTCAGCTGGGAATCCCAACTCATCGTTTCCCCTTTGGCTTCCACTCGACAGCTTTGCCTGGCGCATGATGTCCCTAAACCACCTCAGTCCATGCCCAATCCACCTCCACTTTCTTCTTCTACAATATTTCTTGGGCGATGGTTTACTGCTTTTCTGGTTCGTTACCAGTCCAGAGTTCCTTATTGCTTATTCTTTCTGACCACCTGATCTTCAGTACCGAGTGAGCGTAGGTGGCATCTGTTGATGCATGTCTGTAGTTTGTTGGAAATGCTTTCCGTAACGCGCCAAGTTTCTCAACCATCACATAGAAGCACTGACTTGACTGGATTAGTGTTGAAAATCCGGATGTTATTCACGCTTTATGCTGAGTGCAGTGCAGTGGAGTAGATCTCCACGCTGATTTCAGGTTAATGGAGGAAGGCCTGTCTTGGTGTTTTTCCGATCCTGGCTGACTTTGATATACTCATCTGTGCCGCCTGTATTTGAGAGGATGCTGTCTAGGTAGGTGAAAGATACTACTTCCATTAGCTTTCTCCCGTTCATAGTGATCGGTGCCTCTTGTTGTTGTCGCTGTTGTTGGTTGTGTGTCTTCATCACCTCTGTCTTCTCTACGTTCACCTGAAATGCCGTCTTCGCTGCCCTGCCTATTCTGTCAACTTGTTGGTTTTCGACTGTAGATCTTCGAGTTTGTGCGACAAGACATTAGACATCAATCATCATGAGCGAAATGCAAATCTTCTAGGGTTTTTTCATTGTCCAAACAGCCAGTGTATGCCCCCTCTTCTCGCTCCTCACAGTTTTCTGCATGATACAGTCCAGTCCAGTCCAGTCCAATCGAGTCGACCACAAAATCAGGAAGATAATCGGTGATAGTAGGCTTCAACCTTGTCTTACCTGTCAACCTATCTTCACTTCAAAGGCGTCACTGAGCTTCCCATTGTGTTGTGAATCGAATCCCTTCGCATGTAGCATCATATAGCATATAGCTGCTGTTGAATGAGGTTTATAGAGGCTGTTGGCACTAAAACTGTGGTGTTGAAGCAGCTGCCTGCCGAATTACTTCTTGGTCGACGCCTCGATCGAAGGCCTTTTCACAGTTGATGAAGTTGAGGTGAAGAGTTGACTGCCATTCTATGCTCTGTTCAATGTTGATGCGTAGCGTTGCAATTTGATCCGCACATGATTTGTTCCTCCTAAAGCTAGTCAACCTGTTTCGGTCGTAATTTTGAATGCGGAGTATTTTTTAGTCTCTCCAGGATAAAGTTGCTTAATATTTTGCTTAGGCTGGACGAATTAGGTTGGTGCTAACTAGAAATAAATCGTAGTCTACTCAATACTCCATAAGAAGACTCTAATTATCTTATCTATGACCGGTCGATTCCCATTGACCACCTGAACTGTTCTCTCCTGCGATATTCGACCTGCATGTTCCAGTTCGCAGTTAGCCCTATGATGTTTGTCAAGCATTCTTGGTTGATAGGGTCATTCACTTGATCGTACATCCCATCTATGTCGCATCTGAGTTGAAGTCTATCAGATCAAATTTTCTTTTCACCTTCTAGACCTTATAGCACACCGACAACTGTTAACGAGGGTCAAGTCAAGCAGTGCAGCTTCCAACCAAGCGTCCGCTATGGAAACATGCCTCAATCTCTTTGAGTAAGCCCGCATGAAACTGTTTGAATCTACTGTTGAGGAAGTTACTCAAATCACTTCAATGGAATCCTGTATACAGCTCCTCGAAATGCATCGTAAATTGATATCGAGGTTTTCCGGAGTCCTCAGCAAACGTGTTGTCCTTGCTGCTTCAAGACGCCTACATTGTAGGCGCCAAACCAAGACAGTACATTTGTTTTTAAAACTGGTGAGTTAGATACGGCATCGGATGACATCCCTGTGTGATAGAAATCGTTTAGTGACTCAAAACCAATACCAGTAAATCAAGAGTTCAAACAGTGGCGAGCAGATGAGTGATGTGACTATACAAAGAAATGTTGAAGTGACAAGAACATAACCACTCAGTTTGTATAACAACAAAGTTCAGAGAAAGTCGTTTTCACAAACTGCTCTTCAAATATAATCGATAAATTGGGAGCTGCGTCATTTTATTTACGGGGGGGTCAAGGAATTTCTGGATCCTGAAACCTGTGTGCATGAATGACTTGAAATTGTGAACTGAATCCTCACCCCTCTGTTGGCGAATCTTTCATATCCATCGGTCCGATGATAGGCGTCAGCTACTGACTTTCGCTTTTATAAAAACCGCACGAAGGCTGATGGTATAACTTTACTAATGGACACTATGCACGTATGTCTATGTAAAAACATTTTTAGAGAAACTGAAGTGTTATTTCAGTTAACTTGATACCCACTTTGTTTATTGTCTCGCAACGGATTCAAACAATTCTGTTCCATAGAAAGGAGTGAGGCGGGATCTGACCGTCGGGCCAAACTAAGTCGAGCGTGAAGACAAATACTCATTGATGGCACTAGATAAAAATCTCCCTCTATCACGAACTGACAGAAGTAGGAGAATATGGACCATTGAATTCCAACGCATTGCCTAAATAGCAATGTGCTCACCGTTAAACCTGAGTTCGATCCCTGAGGGTGAGGGAATCGTGGGTGTGTACTGCTGAAGAATCCTATACTAAGATGAAACAATTCTCCAGTGCTACCAGGTTTTCGAAGGTTCTCTAGCAGATACCAGTCTTTTATAAATACTAACTGGAAATCAATAAATCCCTCCAAACTTTACATTAAGTATTAGTTGAGATATGATGTAGTATCCATGTCCATGTAGAAGTTATTTGGGTGTATTCAACCGTGCACGTTAAAGTTCATTATCCTGAACACCCACATTTTAGCTACCTAATAGATAGTAGGTTTCATTCCAGTTTATTTATTTCAATCTGAACACCTGATCTGTATAGTTCGTTCACTGAAAGACAGTTGTAATTCATATTCTGATACGTAACCATGTCCTTACTATTGTCTCATTTCTACTTAGTAATGTATTTTTCTGAAATTGTTTCTTCTCATAGGTGGATATGCATTTCCACCTGTCCAGCCAGCTCCTCAACCTAACTATGGATATCCAACTGGAAATTATCTCCCACCTTCAATGCCTCCAGGACAACCAATAGCTCCACCAGGTGTTTATACTCCAGGTACCAGTTCTTCGTATACTACACCTCAACATGGTCAACATTTTGTTGGACAGAATGGTCAACCTTATCAAGTTGTCTATGTGGATGGTAAACCTAAGAAAAAGAAATTTGGTGGATTAAAAAATGCTGCAGTCGGTAAGTGCTATCACACACAGTAAACCAGTTTCACTTTGCGAATAATATTTTCATACTCTGATTTCGTTAGTTTATATTCACTCGCTTTTTAGCAATACTTTAACTGTTATCAGCGAGTGACTTACAGATTGCAACGGTTCACGTTGAAATTTCTCACAGCCGAGTAGTCGTTTTCAACTGCCTAGCTGTGGTGTCTGCAGGGTTTCCGCTGGAAACCATCGCGTAGCCTAGATCACAAAGTGTGGTCTCTGACACCAAAGTGTCGTGAACTAGCGAAAGGTACTACTACCTAACAACTTAAGTAGTTAGAAAACACTAAGGTTGATCTGTAGTATCTCACCAGCCAGATTAGAGTGATCTAAATACTGGACAGCTGTTTCGCTTGTTCGCGGCTGAGCTCAGCATCGGTGTGGATAAATTCAGATAATCGCGCCGAATTAGTTCAAATCACCTGACTTGCATGGACCTAAAATACCTAAAATAGGATAATCAGTTTGCCAATTATTCGCTGTGATGTAGCTGGCAAAATCAGATCAGTCCTAGGGAATTCTAAATAGAGTTGTTCGTTAATAGTATATTATCAGTATTTTTGAAAAAGTTGATATTCTATCTTTGAAATACACTTGTCACAGGATGATTAGTGATACTAAGTGGTTGTTCAGGCTTTAATTTTCGAAGTGAGGTTCTAACCGGGTAATCTGATGGTTGAAAGTGGGGCAACAAAGATGCTGAACTGTAACTCAAATAAAACACGTGACTAAGAAAAAGATACGAACTCTTTTTTCAGACTAGTACCTTGAACACGTCATCTTTGACTGCTCGGTAACTTCAGCCACCTTCCCATAATTGATTGGCACTCATCTGTCTTCTCTTAACTGCTGCGTATTCTGTACTTCAAAATGTTTTCCGATTTTAATGTCATCTAATGGAAAATAAACGTCATTTAGGCATACTGACATTCGCTCAGATGCACTTATCAGCGTCTTTAACCATGATCATCAAACTTCACTCAGTTGACAGAGAAAAAACCCTATTCACTGGCCATTAAAGGATGTTTTTCGATGGAATTTCAACACACATGTTGAAAATGTGTTTGGTGCCTGTTTAATTGTGCTGTCGCTTATATGAGCAATATGTTCGACGGCATAGGTCGCACATAGTTAGTTGGCAATCGTTTGTTTGTAGGCATATTTCGTCCTTTGGATCATCGAAACGAAGTGCTTTTACAGGGTGGTGGAACGTAGGACGTGGTCGAAAGCTTTGTGTATCTAGGTGGTTATGTGAATACTGGTGATGTGACACAAGATGTCTAACCATATGTAGAGACGCAGAATGGCACACTAATGTGCGTCACGTTTGTCTCCATCGTGACGTTAGCCTATCTGTTATATCTGTGAAGGGTTGGACGTACTACACGTTTGTGCCAATAGTTCTACTTTTTGCCTGTGAGTTCTGATCTGTTTTAGCTGGTGATATTCGACAATTCTGCATGTTCGATCGTCATTATCTCCGTGTGATTGCTATTATCCGGTGAAAACTCCATCTAACTAATCATGAGGTAAGGTGGCGTGTGTTTAGGTGTGGTGTGGACCTTCCATTTATTAATTGATTTTATTTTCGTCTTGAGATACGGACTTGGGTAGGTTGGACATGTTCTACGAATGTCATCTCAACGCGTCAGATATCGTTTACTGTCTGGCAGCCTTGGGACTAATCGGCATAAACGCAGAGGTTTTCAGTGTATGGTATGATGACTAGGGATGAGAATTAGTTGTGTTCGTTTAACACGTGTCGATGTTTTACTACTCCGTAGAGGGGATCTGAAAGTTTACCCGTTTCAGTAGCTGAAGAGGATAACGGGTTAGGATTCAGAACTATTAGCAACTATGTTGAACGCGTCCAAGCCGGTGGCACTCAGAGAATATGCAGTCACGTTGTGTAACTGAACTAGGTAGACAATATAAGGAAACCATGTGCACTTGACCGCCATCACCTTCGGAACATCAGTTGTATAAGACTGGACTACACAGTGAAAAATATCAAATTTGACAGTAGCGATTCACTTCCACTGACGATGTTTCAAACCGCTATATACCTTGCTAACTGGTTTTTGTGTTACCATCTACCCCATTATGTGCATCCGGCTTGACTACGAGTCAGGTAGGAAACCTTAAGAATGGTCTGCGCTAATTCTCATTAATGAGAACGTCTCACTTGATATGAGAACATACGTCTTATAAAAGCGTGCTTCAGAAACATTCAATGTGGATATCATCATCTAGCCATTACTTTTTACACTATAAACATGTGTACATCTTGTGCTAGTGATGAAAAATTGATTGACCGATAGTGAAGATAATTGACATGATATTCAGTCAAGGGCTTATTGGATTGGTAACATATGTGACTGCATCATTTGTAGTGAGATGATAGGCATTCATTTTTGTTGTTACGTTTGTCTAACATATGCAGCTTAGACTACATGAAACTGTACATTGTGATTGGTCAACCAATTAATTTCATGTTCTGAGTGGGTCGTTTTACAATGTGGAGACAACTAACTGTCGTGGTACACTTCGGTGGATGTTAGTTGGTTGCAAGCGATCTTCAGGAAGCTATGGAGTTAAGTGTCATGCCTATTGGCACTCGTCAGATAGAAGTATCTGCAGCCACGAGGGAACTGGTTTTTTCTGTTGTGAGATTCGAACTTGCGTAACCCTGTGTCGTAATCAAAGATGTTACCTTTGAATCTGGAGAAAATTTAGAAAATTTTTGAATAGTGGAACAATTTAATGTGAATAGTCAAAAGATAAAGACAACGCTAGCTCATCACAATTGTTTCCAAGTATTTTTCAATCATGTGAGAGGAGATGAATGTTTCATCATATCCTTTTATAGTTTTGTTAACTAACTGTTTGCCAGAGTTACCCGTTAGTATAACCAATGTCTTTTTATTACATAGTTATCTATCCAGGCCAGTATTCGAGTTATATTAACAATTTCTGCATTGTATCAAAATACGATTGACCGTTGTTGAGTAGTAACCAGCGTTTAAAAAAATTAATTCACACTTGATATCTTTTCAGGTCTTGCCTCTGGAGTTGCTGGAGGTTATCTGGCGAGTCGTTTATTTGGTGGTTGGGGTTCAGGTTGGGAGGAGGTTGTCATGGGTTTATGGGCCCTAGATGGGGTAGTTGGAGCTCTTTATCCAGTTTCAGTTGGTCTGATTAAAACATTATGTTCTATCACAATATATGCATATATCCAGCATACTTTGTTGTCGTTTCATATGTCCATAATTTCAACTATCGTAAGTACTTCTCTGTTCAACCCTTTTCCGTTGTGCATACTGATTGTTAATTAATATTCATTGTTCAACAACCAGTCTTTTGGAAACCCGGTGATCGCTGGTTGGAATCTGGCCGCGGTCCAAATTTTCATTTCACCTTCAATCATCACCCAGTATAAATACTGCAAGTCTACTAAACCACGGCTATCTCAGATAGTCATTAATTTCTCAGTTTGCCTATCTGAGATAGCTGTGGCTTAGAAAATTTTATTATTATCGAGACTGGGTGATTGAAGGTGAAATTCGAAATTAGGGTCGCAGCAGGATTCGGGTCAGCAGCCTGTGAGTTACCGGTGTGGTGCACTACCATCTGAGCTACTGACCATATCTTAATTTCACTTCAGTCACCAAGTGTTTCGATTGACTATTATGTGAATTCATGATGCATTGCAGTTTGTCCATGGTACTCACACTGGCTACCCAGCCCAAACTTCTCATCCCAATTGAAATAGAAAAGAATTTGAGAGAAGGGGAGCATCATATTGATTGTAATTACTTTTCAATTAAATTGTTGTTCGAAATAACTTCTACAACAGGGATGAACCATCATCACTGTTAAAATTATTTAGACCGGAAGAGAATTGAAAATAGAAAATTTTCTATATCCACTGTACCCATGAAAAAACAAAACAATAAAAGGATATAATTCAAGTTGTTATTCATCGAAGACTGACATCAGTTGGAGGAACAAAGGAAACCTGGGAGCACTGGACAGCTGTTTCGTCCTAGTATGGGACTCCTCAGTAGTGCGCACCCACGACCCCACCAGCAGGGATCGAACCCGCGACCTTCAGGTTCCGCGACCAGCGCGTTACCATTGAGCCACTGGGTCAGAATCCAATGCTCCATATTTCCAACTTCTGTTAGCTCACCATAGCTCAATGGTAACGCGCTGGTCGCGGAACCTGAACGTCGCGGGTTCGATCCCTGCTGGTGGGGTCGTGGGTGCGCACTGCTGAGGAGTCCCATACTAGGACGAAACGGCTGTCCAGTGCTCCCAGGTTTCCTTTGTTCCTCCAACTGATGTCAGTCTTCGATGAATAACAACTTGAAATATTTCCAAATCTCCACAACCCCCTCAAAATTTAAAAGGATATAAGTCGATAAATGTAATCTACATACTTTACTAACTAAGAGAAGGGATCATCCATTATAGTCTAAAATCTAAATTATTCAGTGTTTGTGTAGTCAAAATGTTATTTTTCTACACTTGATAAATCGAAAAGTGTAAGTGTTTACGCCAAGTTATTAATAGTAATAGTAATAATGTAGTTACAAGTATTGAATGGGAATCAATTAGGGTCGAATCGGTTTGGATTAGACAGTATTAAATTGTGGTGATGAAGTATGAGTCGCTTGTGTAGTCTATAGTTGAGAAAAGTAGCCAAATAGAGATAAATGTTTGGAAAGGTTAGCACCATAGGAATTGGAGACTAATGACTGCCTCTTCTCAGTCGTTCCAATACACAGCGTTCAGGGTATGCACAAGTTGAAGTTTGTAGGGTTTAACAACTTTTCAAGTTGGTATTCATCATTGACTGACATCAGTTAGAGGGACATTGAAAAGCTGTTTCGTCTGACCAATATCGGACTCCTCAGCAATGCGCACCCACGACCCTGCCCCACTAGGGATCGAACCCAGCACGTTACCACCAACTAGGAATCCAATCGTCCATATTTCCAACTTCTATCAGTTCACGGCATAACGCTACCGTCACCCTATGTCATTGTTGAGTATCTATCCTCACAGCCACCAGCTTTGCCCCACTGGTCATGACTTCTCATTCGAAGTTGAGGAATCATCTCTTAAAGCTACTCACTAATGATGGGTAGATCAATTTAATTTGGGGGGGGGGGAAGGGTTGTTGGGATTAAGAGATTCTTCAAATTGGTCTTCATCATGGATTGATATCAGTTGGAGGAATATTTGATGTCGATAAAAAGCCGTCTGAGTGAAGAATATTCTTTTCAATAAATTTTCACCACATTCTCCACTTATAAACTGCATGTGTACAACGTAAAAACAAACCAGGTGTTAGGTCAATACAGTTTTAGCACGGAATTAGGGTTAGAAACTGTAAAGGAATCAATTTTTCTTGATAAATTTTGTCAATATTATGATAAATTTAAACAGCGTAATGAGAAGACGAAGATTATCTGAAACATGTGATGTATTAGCGCTATACATTTCGAACAATCTGATCACACATGGACTTGTCGAACTATTTATATGAAAATTTACGAAAAGGGACCAGTTGCTTTAAATATTATGATAATATATATGCAGATTAAAAAAATGTGTTGGTAAAAGAAAAGACAGAAGTGACATTCAATTAACTTGAAGGTCAATGGAGGAATAATGTTTGAACGCTTAGTTCAGATCAATTTTATTGCAGTATTCTGAGTGAAAACGGATATTTTGAAGAGTGTTCATCAAGCTAAATACTGCTTTCAGTCATCCTAAACAATATGATAGTAGTATAGGAATGTGATTACAGTTCAGAGTGGTAGAGATTCTGATAGAAGGAAGGGGGATAAAACAACAAAGATGGTGTACAAGTGTTTGAATTAATGGTAGACAAATGAAAAAGGTTGTGCTAACAAACATGATTAAGATATCAGGGATTAAAATAAATCGAAAATTATAGGGATATGATGAATAATGTTTAAGAATAATATTACATAAGACAATGAGATTAAAAAACAAAGTGATAAGTGAAGCTGTAGGAAAAGAACAACTCATAAAAGCAATGCAAGATGAATCACAAACTCCTACTTTTGTATAACTTAGCAACCTATTATTTCTTTATTTATTGATTACCTTAAAAGGTATATTTTGAGTCAACAGCATGTCCCATATCGGGGTTGTGCTTGACAACCTTCCACCTCTCAATGAAAGGTTTTTCGTTTAGTAAGAACCCTCTATGTTCTTCCGATATACATACTACTTCAAGTGCAGGTGAATGAATAAATACAATTGGAGAGGTAACATGAGGAGATGTTACATCTAAATTACTTTCTCTGATCACATTCTTCGTATCATAGACAACTGTTAATTTCACAGCTGGATAAGTTAATACGATGGATGCATTCAGTCGGTGATTATTTTTCGTGAACTCAACTCATCGCTTTTGAAGGGTAGTAGTAGTCTAATGAACACATTCTTTTTCGGCACCGTTATATCATCCAATTTCCCATTTCTAGATTTAAAGTGTTTATTGATAAACTTTTTTAGGGTATCGTTTATCTGATAAAGTTTTTTCGTATACTAACCAGTTCATTTTTGATGACTTCCTTGGAACATAGTCTAAGTTGACTTTAAAAATAAAGTCTTAACTAGACTTCTTTTATAAACGATTGGACAGAAACTATTAAATTGCAAATATTGACCGATCCAAGTGGGCCTTATGATAAATTCTGTATAGTATACAACCATCTTTTAATCTTCAAATCCAAGAAATTTATTTCATCTAACGTTTTATGTTCACATATGAATAAACTGAATTAAAAATATCTGAGTAGGTTCACTGCATGGACTTCACTCTCACTTATGATGAAAGTATTATCTACATATCTTAAATACAATTTAGTCTGTTTGATGATGACATCACTTGGTTTGGTATTTTCAAAGTGACCTACGAATATGTCTGCGAATATGGGACCAAGAGGACTCCTCATAGTTACACCTATCTGTCTGTCTGTAATACCATTAAACTGGAATTGCACATTTTTTGTGCATGACGTCAATAAATCTTTCAGTCTGGTAAATGGAAAGTTCATCATGTCGACATGACAACACAGGATATCGTTTCTTCAATTGTTACATTCATGAATAATGATTTAACATCAAAAGAAACCATATGATCTTTGCTTATATTATTATTATTAATTCTACTAACAGACTCAAAACTATCCTTCAAAGTATGCACATCTAGCTCTTTCCTAACAGACTCAGTTCATTGTACAAGCCATCGAATGAGTTCATGGTATGAGGAGTTCGATATGACCAGTATAAGAAGTAAAAGTATTCCCCATTTTGCGTATCTTAGGAAGACTGTACATTCTTGGTAAATGTTTACCTCTGAGTCACAACGTCTCATAGAACTTTTCATCGATTTATCTTCTTTTCAGTCTGTTATGTCATGTCTTTATTACTCTTTTTAGGAGTGAAGTGTTTCTTGTCGCTTAATAGGCAGAGCGTTTTTTCTTTGCTTAAAACAACTACACCGCAGCATCTATCAAGTCTCAGTAAAACAATTCGTTCATTCGATTTTAGTCCACTATTGGCTTTGTGATACCTTTTTGGTAAGGCATTCTTATAAAATTTTCGATTGATGGCATATTGGTTGGTTAAATCAACAAACTTAGCTTTCAACCAGCTTTCTTAATCATCTGATGTGGGCTTCATATTTCATAGTTGGTTGTACAAATGTTCAAATTGACATTCGAAATCAATTCGGTTTAGTTTATTGTCAGTTGATTGTTACCTAGTTCACTACTTACCAGCCGATCCTAAGCCCGGGTAAAGAGGGAAGGTTGGGCATAGGGCTAGCAACCCTACCCAGTAAAACCAATTCAATCGCTAAAGAAACTTCTAAGCACAAAGAAAATATAAAACATAAAACAAACTTATTCCTCGCTGGAAACGGAGAGATAAACTGACACCGATGGTGAACGTCTTCAGTAAGCCAGTTGGTCGATGTGTCGTCTCTCGATGAAAACGAAAGTAAGCATGGGGACATGGAATATCCACACAATGTTTGAAGCTGGCTGGCAAGGCTACCCAGATTGAGAAAGAGATGAGATATGGCATAGAAGTGCTTGGAATCTGCAGATGGAATGCAAGTCCACTCTCTAAACTCTTCACTAGAGAGTTAATAATCGACTCCGATATTGTCACCCAGACGACAATCACCAACACACTGAGTTTGGAGTGGCTATCATGATGTCCCCTTCAGGAACATCAAAGGCTCTCATGCAGTGGGAACCAATCTCCTCCACCATCAGGATCATGACAACAAGATTCAACTCAAAAAAGGAAGGAAAGTCACAATCATACAATGCTACGTTACGCACCTACAAACAATGCAGATCAAGAGAAAAAGGAGGAACTCTACAGACAACTGAAATCAGTACTGGACAAAACCCCAGCCCAGTTGGTGACATCAAAACTCTAATGGGTCTGGCGGCATGAATGCTAAACTGGGAGCGGACAACACACCAAGAGAACCAATCATGGATCGAGAAGCACTCGGCGAAATGAATGAGAGTGGAGAACTGTTTGTAGATTTCTGCGCATTCAACGGTTTGGTGATTGGAGGCAGTGTGTACTAACACAAGGACATTCATAAGGCAGCGACATGGATTTGATTTCACCAGACACCGGGACACACTACACTAAAAATCAGATCGACTTCATCTCAATGTGAAGAAAGTGGAGACGCAGCCAGCCTACTGGACACAAGATCAGACCAAGAAAAGGAGCAGATGTGAGTTCACACCACTCACTATCCACTGCAAGGAACCTAACTTCCAAATCAAGTTGAAAGTCCTCAATCAAGTTGGTGATAGACGACCACAATTCAAGTTGAACACACAGAACAGAAACTGAAGGAAAAAACTACAAAGGAAATCTTCACGTCAGCTAGTCATCAGAACAAAATGGGGGACAATGAGCAACATTCATGAAGGATCGGGCGTGAAAGAACACTGGAACTCTTTGAAAGGGATGTGGAAAGAAACCTGCACAATCGTATTAGGAAGTAAGAAGAGGCAAGAAAAGGAATGGATCTCGAAGGACACATGGAAGCTGATAGGGAAGGGAGAGGAAGATGGTGATGGTGAAGCAGAAGATGAACCAGTGCAGTATAAGGATGCATACGAAAAGAGTAACTGAACACAACCTATAGAACACTACACTGGAGAAAGAAGTGAAGAAGAGTGCACGCAAAGACAAAAGACATTTCTACAAGACATTGGCAAGTGAAGCAGAACAGGCTGCTGGTAGGAGAGATAGAGACCTGACAACACTATATCAAATAACCAGGTTACTATCTGGGAAGAAATCAATGCAGACAAAACCAATGAAAGATAGTGAAGGAAACTTAGTTGGCAAAGAGGAGAAACAAAGGAAACAATGGGCTGACCACTTCAAAAAACTCTTGGGTCGACTATGATGATTGATGTCTAATGTCTTGTCGCACAAACTCGAAGATCTACAGTCGAAAACCAACAAGTTGACAGAATAGGCAGGGCAGCGAAGACGGCATTTCAGGTGAACGTAGAGAAGACAGAGGTGATGAAGACACACAACCAACAACAGCGACAACAACAAGAGGCACCGATCACTATGAACGGGAGAAAGCTAATGGTTTTACTATATAAACACTAAATCGCTTTGATTTTAGTCGGTAATTTCTTCCATTCGAATCCCTAATCTGCACCATTTCTTCCGACTTTTTTTATCAATGAACTATCTTTCAGTCATTAAGGTATGTGGATTAAGTTTTTTGGTTTGTATTCGATAGATATTAGGCTGTATGGATTTGGAAAGAAGGTGACGAATGATTATGGATTCATTGTATTCTACGAAACCTGTTATCTTCACTGTACTAAAATTTATGAAAGGAATCAATTGTAGACTGTTTTTTTTTGAATGGTAATGAATGTTTGCAGCTTAAATGGATAACGATATTAAAGATGAAGGATGGCTAACAGTGGGATCCAGGACGCACTTTTCGTTCTGTTTGAGATTCATCAGCTGGATGTACCTGCCTTCTATTGAGTGATATTGTTTCCACCAGAACTCGAGACCAGGAGGGATCGCTTCAAATACCAGAGTGTTATCCATTAGGCCACTGAGTCAGGATACGCACTGCTTTTGCGTCGGGCAATGGATACTTTTCTTGATGATGGCTTGTATATCTCCATTGTTGATTGGATAGTGCCCAAAATCGAAGTATAATAAACTGTTATTCCTTGAGGTTATTCAATATGACAAGATCAGTATTTTTATTATAGATTCAAACGTTGTGGATTTCAAATTTATAGACTCACTCCCTGCTCACTGTATCACCCGTGGAATTGAATGATGACTGTCTGTGCAACTCGCTCCTTGACGTCTTCGAAAGCTTGAACATTCGCACTAACCTTCCTCTTCAGATCGCTTATTCTTTCTCGCAACCTTGTCTATTTTGATATCACTTCCTTTTTATCCACCTGTTCTTTGTGCACTACCGTGAAGTGTGGCAACTTAAGCCGATGAACTTGAGTGTGAGGTTTTAAGTTGGTTTTATCAGTCTGTGTAACTGTGTCCATTATTTACTGTAAACTGTCTCCTGTGTACAAGGTCTACTTGACCTATCTTGATTTATTTGATTGCTTAGTTATTTTATTTTATTGAGTTGATGCATCAGAGAAGCCAATCTATGGTTTTTTGACTGAGTAGTTTGCTTCATTGATCATGGACTGACATCAGTAAGAGAAACATTGGAAACCTGGGAGCACTGGAAAACTGTTTCGTCGTAGTATGGGACTCCTCAGCAGTTCGTACCTATGACCCTCCCCTCCCCCCGCCGAGTAGATGTGAGGATAAATAATCAACGATAACATTGGGTGATGGTTGCGCTATGTCGTGAACTGACAGAAGTCGGAAATACCGGACCACTGGATTCCGAGTCAGTGGTAACGTGCTGGCCACGTATCCCGAAGATCCTGAGTTCGATCCCTGGTGATGCGAGGTTATGGGTGTGCATTACTGAATAGTCCCACACTAGGAGGAAACAGGTTTCTAGTTCATTTTGTCGTAACTGAGGTCCACTGGTTTTTCCTTGTCAGATGTTGTTTAGATTTTGGTAAATAGGTTCAAAATCTTACCAAAAAATGCCACACTTTAAAAGAGTACAAGAACAGAAATAGAACAATATTCAAAACAAAATAAGAAAAGATGTGTGTTAGGGAGAGACAGAGACGATCAGTGGACGAACGTTAGGGGAAATATCAAAATTTGGAGGCAGACAAATAAGGAGTGTGTATACGTCGCTATGAAGGATTTTGAAGTAAATCGCCAATCGCCAAGGACTTTAATTTGTCAGCATTTCAACTTACTTTATTTTCTGGCATAGAAAGCTATACGCCAGTGAATCATTTCTTTTGAGAATAAAAAAAGTTGAATCTCTTGTCTCTTTTGGCAGCCTGCTTAGATTTTGGGATATGAAAAATATTTCATCAAATTACTCCCTCTTTTTAAACTTGTTTTAACTATTCAAATGTCAACAAATCGTAAAATATACTCTCGTACACTTTTAAAATGTCTTCAACCTATCGTTAGACAGATCAACAAGAAGGCTAAGAGAAAATATCACAGTAGACTGCAGTTACTTTCTGATTGCACGATGGTGGATCATACAGGAACACTCAGTTAGAACAGCAAGTTTTCATACTGGATGAATAAACCTCTACTACCAAACTTATGCGTATAGTTTTTTATCCGACCTACTTGGAACATTATATAAACTAGACGATGATCTAAAAACTACTAGCGATTGTTGTACATTATTGCCTATCATACTTCTATTATTAACATTACTACACAGGTTTTTATTTAATTTGAAAATATTGTATAAGAAGTGAAGTTGTTGTGATATCACACTGAGAATCGCAAACTGTACTAAAAGTTATTGCCTAAAATGAAATGATTATTATCATTATTTCCAGTCATTTCGCAGTCATATTTTTGTTCATGAACAAGAATTTATTTAGCGTTATTTAAAACATTTATTAAACTGTAAAGCCTACTACTCAACCGAGTTGTTACGGTTAACAGTTGAGGCACACTTCTTTCCGTGTATGCATAATAAACTGGCAATAGTGATGGATATTGGCTAGCAGTGGAATCCAGCTTGATGCACGTTTCGTCCTATCTGGATGTACCTGCCCTCCAGTGAGTGATATTTTTCCCACTGGGATTCGAACTCAGGACCAGTCGCTTCAAACACTCGGACATTATCCACTAGATCATCGAGTCATGATAGCCACTTCTTGTGCAATGGGTATAGTTTTAATGTGGTTGCTTGTATTATCCTGTTGTTGATTGAACCGAATTAATCGATATCTATTGGCATATGGACTCCTGATCGGATGACACAATAGAGACTGATCAACAATGGGATAATGAAAGGAACATCAATAAACTAGAAATGTTTTATTATTGTCATAAACTGTAATTATTATTTATTCTTTTTTCGAGGAAAAGTGTTATTCTATTAAAAGTGCATATCTTTTGTATGTTTTTTTCTTTTCTCTTAGCATTTTCAGCATTTTTATTGAATGTGAATGCTATAAGCTATGTGTGATATGAGATGATATCAAGGAATTATTATCATATCAATCAACACTATCCAATAAATATTTCATTATTGATTCATCTATTGTCACAATTCCTATTATTAAATATGTGGTATATTTTACAAGAAGAACCAAAAAGAATAAACTTTAAAGAGGATTATCTATGCATGCTTCATAGAAACTTTTTTTTTTACTTACCTTTAACTACTATTATTGGCATTTTAAAATTTACTTTATTCATTGGTATATCCCTCCCTTTCAAAGATGAGTATACATGTATACTTAAAAATTTTATTTTCTGCCTTGCATATTTTATCATTCCTCCCATTTTCTTGATTTCAAAAGCTTTGCTTTCTATTCATTAGTCTGATATGACTTGAGTATTCAAAATGACTTTCAGTTGTTTTTACTCAGTTAGTATAAATTAAAAGGATTTAAACATATCCATTTAATATTATTATTATTATTAGTCCCTTGGGTTCCTAGTGGAACATAGGGCTTCAGTAGCACGCCTCCAGTACACTCTGTTCTCTGAGATCTTTTGAACCTGGTCCCACGACAGCCCAGAAGCTCTCATTTCCTCCTCGCACGACCTCCTCCATGTCACCCTCGGACGTCCAACTCGTCGCTTCCCATGGGGATTCCACTCGAGGGCCTGACGCGTGATGTCCCCAGTCGGCCTTCTCAGTGCATGGCCAATCCATCTCCACTTCTTCCTGCATATTTGTTGGGTGATAGGTTCTTGGTTGGTTCGTTCCCAGAGTTCCTTGTTGCTTATTCTTTCTGGCAATCCATCTGATCTCCAGTAGCGAGCCAGTGTAAGCAATTGTTGATAAATGTCTGTAGTTTATTGGAAATCCCTTTCGTGACGCGCCAAGTCTCTGAACCATACAGGAGCACTGACTTGACGTTGGTGTTGAAAATCCGTATCTTGTTCCACATGCTGAGTGCAGAAGATCTCCACACTGGTTTCAGGCTAATGAACGCCTGTCTTGCTTTTCCGATTCTGACTTTGACATTCTCGTCCGTCCCGCCTGTAGTTGAAACAGTGCTTCCTAGATAAGTGAAGGAAGTTACTTCCTTTAAGTTTCTCCCGTTTATGGTGACTGGAGTTTGTTGTTGTTGTTGTTGATATAATATACACAACAATAATTATTTAAGTAGGATATCTTTATGAGATAGTAGAAAATATTCGTAGTTCAGGATATGGATAGCAGTTGTTGAGTATTCTCTGAATTTTCACCAAGCTAAGCAATTTCATCAGCATTTGATTCATCAAGAGGTGAGACATTTTTAATTTGCTTAAAGATTCATGAAGAATATTTACTGACTTTTAGCGTTATTCGCTTGCCAGCTACAGTGATCATTTAGTCTTAGTCAATTTAGATTACTTGAGCATGCATTGTACATGGAAAGCCACCGTCTACACCGATATGCAGTGCTCGAAAAAGTTAGATTAAGTTGGAAGAGGGTTCAAAGTGACCAGACCAAGATGTGGCACTAGTCTGTCAGACGACAGGAATCAGTAGTTCTGAGGTTCTGTTAACGCGGCTGAAAATCAGTCACAATAGCTCAGATGCATTCAATCCCTGATATCTTCAAATTACTTATTCTGTCACACCACCTTGTCTACTTTGATACCAGTCTTTTTCTATCCAACTGTCAAGATGTGGCAACTTGAGTTGATGCAGTTGTGTGTGAGGTTCTACGTTGATTTTGTCTGTCCAGTCACTTGACCCACACAGTTGACCTAATACCTGATTATTGATTTACCTGATTGATGTCCAGTTGATTGATCACTTCTTAGCAGCCTGAATATTAGACGAATGTTTGTGTGTCTGTCGATTTACATATAACTGGAGTACCCTGGTCTCAGGTATTCTCTTTCAGCTTTTGAGCTGGCTCCGTTGTAGTCAGTATTTTGATGTTGATCCAGTTGAAGTTTTGATTGTGGTCGTCTATGTGTATCTGTATGAATGGTGATTGACTGCAAGTTATCGTTCATAAATTCTTCTGGTTATTCAACACATGGATTGACCGTGATGATGAAGTTGAGAGTCTTCGCATAATATGTTGTTGTGGGACTTGTGCTATTGAACTTCTGAGACATATTTGGTGTTTGTTAGAGTAGTTCGTTATGTTTTGGTTGAGGTGATTGTCGTGATGTGTGTGTGTGTGTGTGTTCTACTGATTGGCATTTCGTGATGAGGTCGATTGGATAGTGATTAACTGTGACACTTTGTCAGTATGGTTTCCTTTTTGGTTTTTGTAATTGTTGAGTGTTTTGATGAGTCTTGGCAGCTGTGAGTAGTGATTGTTGGCAACATTTATCGTGGTATGGTTGGTTGTTACTGTTGTATTTGGAAACTTGATCTATGTGTGTCACCTTCCTGTAGACTTGAGTGTGTTAGTTGGTTGGAGGCAATCGAGGAGAAGAAGGTGTATGTGCTCGACATTTAGGGAAGCCGAGCTTCCTGTTGAATACCTCCAAGAGACTAAGATGTATGAAAATGCATCATTATGGTGAGTTTTGTTGTTTAGTTGGGACATTGCAAAGTGATTGGTAGAATTTGGTGAGCAGTGAGGAGTAGATAATATGAGATTGGTTGGTCTATGGTTACCAACCAATGTACACTTTAGTTTCTTAGGTTCTGTTTTGTGGTCGTGGGATTCTGATCATTGTTGATGGGAATATTCATTAACAAAATCTTGGTTGATCAACTCGGAAAGTGCGGTTACATTAAAAGGCATAACTTTTTATCTCCATATATCGCGATCTTTCATTTTCTCCAGAAGAATACCAAATAATGGTCAGAAAACGAGTATTTCACAACTTCGTTTCAAGTTACTGAGTCCATGTTAATGTCATGTAAAATAGTCAGTGTGAGGCATAAAATAACTGGTACGGTAAATCCCAGGTTGATAGTCATCCGCCGGAGGATTATTCGAAACCTCAGAGCACTGAACACTTGTTTCGTCTTCATACTGAGTAGTTAGAATGCTTAATTAGTAGAGAGTGTGAAAAAGAAATAAAGCATGAACTGTCTGTGTAACGACTTCAACGTATCTCATTCCTGTTATATTGATCCTGGTGACTAGAAGAGGAATCCAGGACTGTCGTTTCATTCTATTTAGGACTCGTCAGCCAGCTAGATGTACCTGCATCCCAGTGAGTGGTGTTTCGACTCGGGCTCAAACCCAGTACCTATGACTTCAAAAGCCAGAGCGTTATCGAATAAGCCACTGAGGCACGATAACCACCGCTTGGGCACGAGGTATCAGTATCGAGACATCCGTATAGGAGCACATCTGCCAACAGAGGTCGAGCAATTCGGCCCTCTATAACAACGCGAAATTACAAGTATCACTACAACATCTCATTGTTGCCTATTCTACACCCATCATTAGCATAACTAATTTCACTTTAATCATAAGTATTGATAATAAAAAAAGATCATCGATTTTCAAGTCATTTAGCTGATGATTGAAAGATTCTCAAAAGAATCAGACAGCGTGAACGACAGAAAAAGTCAACGTAAAGTCTAGTACACAAATGCATTAGTTCAAGTTGCCACAATCCACAGTAGCTTGCAAAGAACAAGTGGAGAGAAAACGCCTGACATAAAGTAGATAAAGGTGTACTGAAGGGAAGAGAATTTGGAAATGCACGTTAGTGAAGATTTCTCGCTTTGAAAGATGTCAGAGTCACTACACGTTGACAGCTGAATGGGAAGTAGACTGACAATCAATCATCGGTTCTTCTTAAATCTACACGGTGTCGGAGGGGGGTAATTAAGCAAAATCAATCACTACCAACGACCTATAGTAAATAATGGTCCCATCAAGATGAACTGGGAAGTGGACTAAATATGCGCACTGTGTTTTCGATGTTAAATAGGGAGTTTTACAGTTCTGACTCCAGACTGGACTGACAATTTACCTGTGTAGAGTTAACATGCTGTTAGTTGTGTGACACTTTCTCGTCTTGCAATACGACTTTAAATCTTATTGAACCTTTGTCCAGGCGATTGTATTTCCTTTGTTCAAAGTCACTTGCTAGCTTTTTGACTTCGCGGTAAGAAAAGAAAATTAATTTTTATATAAGTGTAAAACATGGGCACTGTGGTAGAATTTAACTCCATATTAGATTGATTTATAACACACAGTGACAAAGTGAATACTGGTCGGGGATGAGAGAAGATATTGCGAAACATGCGCTGGGCTGCCCACATTGTCAATTGATGAAAGGTGACCGGTATATACGACCATCGATTTCAGTAGCAGCAGTTAGTGACCTGTGGACGTAATGGAACTTTCTCTGCAAACATAGTGGCAACCAATACCTGTTGGTGATGGCGGAGCATGTTACACGATGGGTAGACACAAATGCGATTCCTGATCAATGCGCTAAAACAGTGACCGCGACGGTGATGCAGCATATTTTCGCGGATCACGGTGCGCCAAATATGACATTAACCGATCAAGGTCCATGTTTTGAGAGTGACTAATTCAAATCGTGTTTAGAGCAACCTCGATATCAAGAGGATAAGAACGACGCCGTACCACCCACAGACTAACGGTTTGACAAAACGGAATAACCGTACAGTTAAGGAGTGGTCAGCTTCGAAAGACGGAACTGCCGCTAATATTATTAGCTCATCGTGCCTCAGTACACAGAACAACCAAGAAGTCATCGTTCTGGTTAATGTATTGCAGGAAACCAAGGTTCCTAATACATAGTAAGACCTGGCCCCAGCAACAGCCATGGGACATGACTAGATTGAGAAATGAGCAGAAACAGGCAATCAGAAATGTGGAATGGAAACACAAAGCTGATGCTGAAAAATCTGAGCAGAGAGAAGGAAGTAAATGGAAACCGTTTGAGATCGGAGACCAGGTGAGATATAAAGAACGAGGATATACGTCAGGAAGTGAATATAGTAGAAGAAAACTACTCGCTAAGTGGGAAGGACCATACATCG